TACCCTCAGCAAAGATATAAGAAGATACACGTTTTGTATCGGTTTTGGGTCGTGCCTGCCCGCGCCAATCTCTACTTGAAGCTTCTAATTCTTATACACCCGTGTATACCCGCATACGATAAGGTGGTTAAATTTTATAGCAGAGCCCCTTTGGGAGCAGGCTAGCCGGGAATAGATATTTTCCTCTTTTTATATCCTTGTAGAGTGTATTATATTTTTTTCATGATATGTGCAGCGCATAAAAGGAGACGTCTCCGACCCTATAAAGTGTATATATTCTAGTTTTAGTTGGGTTTAAAATGTCGAGCACGGTCAAAAATATGAAACCGGGTTGGTGTCTAGACCGGCGACGCTCGTTGCAACTTTTCTATGCCAAATGTGAAACAAAACGCGGCACAAAACTTCAGACACGCAATAAAAAGCTGCACAGAAATCAAAAATCAACGGCATAAAGTTGCAAGCCAAGCCCGCAAGGAGCAACCACCCAACCAACCCGCCATCTGTCCATCCGAGTCCTGAGTTCCTGTGTGTGCCTGGCAAGTCACAATCATTGGGGGTGGCTCTGGATTTGACTCTCTGGGCGGCTTTTAGGCTATTTGCCTGCGCTGCGATTGAGCAAGCGGCAAGTGGCAAGTGGGGTGCGGTTGGGAGGCGGGTCAGGCTACTGTCTCGTCTGGCGACGCAGACGCTGCAGACAGTTTTCTAATGGGATAAACTATATACATGTATAGAAATATCAAATACATTTGTGTGTATGTGTGTGTGTGTGTGTGTGAAAGCGTATTTGTGCGTGCGTATATGTGTACTCACTCGTAACATGGCGCGTATATCCCGTTATCGATACACACACATTGAAACAGCTGCTGTGAGTGCAAAAATTGGCAATATTAAAAACCAAATATTAAAAAAAATACATACATGTACAAATTTACAAAAAAATAAAACAAAAGCAATGATGCATACTTTTAACGCGCTGCCATAGTCATAGTCAATGGCTGCAAACAACAAATACAGAAAAATTTACACACATACACAAACATATACACCCATACACTAACACACAATTGACATTTTTGCGGGTAGTCTGACAGAATTTCGAAACAGCGACGGCGCCAACCTGCAATAGCTGTTATGGACGGGGGCGGGGGGTTGACGGTGTGGTTGTATTTTGGGCGGTCGCTTTGTTGTGCCGGCGAAAATGTACAACAAACCGGAATGCCAAAACAAAATTGCGTATATTTGGTTCATTCACTTACCGGCAAATTTCGCCGCATTGCAGGCGGCAACAAAAACAATGGCCAGACAGCTTTAACCGTTAGCTGTGGCCGCTCTTGTTGTTTTTGTTTTTCCTGTTAATTTAGCTGTGCACTTTACACTTATTTATTTTAAACCATTTGTTGTTATAGCCTTAGAAGGCATTCAGTAAGTTACACCCACACTCACACACACAAACGCACAGTTTTTACACCGTAAGCACACACGCATAATACAAAGAATTCTTATAAGTTATGCCGCGACACGTCCTTGCACATCAACATTGAGAGACCATTTGAAATGGTTTAACATAGACCATGTTGCCAAACTGTGCGCGGTTAACAGCTGTAAATGACTCAATAGTGCTGACAACAATCCGTTATGCTCAACTGAACTGTTAATTGAATGTTGATTAACATAGCGGCAACTATATGGTCACACTGCGCTGCACAGCTGTTTCCCACTCAATAAATATCGATATATTAGCTCGTGTTCCTATCGCAGCACCACCACAATGACGAATTATTTAGCCAACAACAACTAACATCCATACAGCATTTCAGCTGCATTGAGCTAAAAGAAGCTACCGAAGAAAGTGCAGCAGTCAACATCCAGTTGAGAGGTGGACCAACAAGAGTAGCGGAATGGTCGAGCTGCATATGAGGAAACGAAACGCTTGCGTCATTGTGTTGGGCGACATCGGACGTAGTCCACGTATGCAATACCATGCGCAGAGTCTACTCGAGGATAACTACAATGTGGACATAATTGGATACATGGAGACACGACCGCTAGATGTGTTGACTGCGGCGCAGCCCAAGTGCAAAATTCACGAGCTTCCAGCGGTGCCCATTACAAATCTAACACCAAAACTGAAGCTGCTCTTCAAGGCGATCTGGCAAACGCTGAGTCTGCTGATGGCATTAATCTCCATACGTCGGCCCAACTTTCTGCTAGTTCAAAATCCACCCGGCATACCTACACTGGTAGTCTGCTATTTTTACTGCGCCTTGACGCGCACCAAGCTAGCCATCGACTGGCACAACTACAGCTACACGGTGCTGGCGTTGGGTATGGCCGGCGGCGAACAGAGCCGGCTTATTCGTCTGACAAAACGGCTGGAACGGTACTTTGGCGCCAAGGGGCACACACACTTCTGTGTCACAAAAGCCATGAAGGAAGATTTGCAACGCAACTGGAACATTGGGTGAGCTAAGGAGCACAGGAGTAGCATTAGCCCATATCTGACTGTTTGCTTACAGACCCGTTACTGTGCTGTACGATCGGGCGCCGGCGCAGTTTCATCCCATTGAACTGGCCCAAAAGCACGAGCTGTTCATGAAGCTATCCAAAGATTACGCGCAATTCATGCCGCAGTGCTATGCGGATCTGAAACAGTCGGGCGTGTTGGAATCCACGGCGCTTACGCAAAAGCTGGCCAACGGCACGGTATTGTACAAGCCTCAACGGCAAGCGATACTTGTATCCAGCACCAGCTGGACCCCGGACGAGGACTTCGGCATACTGCTGCAGGCGCTGGAGTCATATGAGTGCGTTGCTGTAGATGAACCTCAAGTTTATCCATCTCTGCTGTGCATCATCACGGGAAAAGGTCCGCAAAAAACGCATTACGAAGCTCAAATCGCTAAAATGCATTGGCAAAAGGTGTCCATTGTGACCCCCTGGCTGGAGGCTGATGATTATCCCAGCGTTCTGGCCAGCGCCGATCTCGGCGTCTGCCTGCACTGGAGCACCAGCGGCCTGGATCTGCCCATGAAAGTGGTGGACATGTTTGGCAGCGGACTGCCCGTCTGTGCATATAACTTCAAATGGTGAGTGGTTCGAGCTTTGCTTCGAGTCATAATGCTTAAACTCGTTATTCCCTTTTAGCCTAGATGAGCTTGTCAAGCATGGCGAGAACGGTTTTGTGTTTAGCGATCATGTGGAGCTGGCCGAGCAGCTGCGCATCTGGTTTGAGCACTTCCCCAATAATCCAAGCATCATAGAGACACGCTCGCGCTTCGCACGCAGCCTGCAGCAGTTTCAGGAGCTGCGCTGGCGTGACAATTGGCGACAATGTGCTGCTCCCGTACTGGAATCATTTCTTTAGGCAGCTTAGGCAGCGTTTATTGATTTCAATAAAATTTGTGAACACTGCATGGAAGCCCTCGACATATGGTCAGCATGTAAGGTATAAAGATAAGTGTGCGCCCTTAAGTGTTTCGATATTCCATTTGTTGGCATTGAATCTGAACTCAAGGCCTTGTCTCCATATATTTGTAGTTATGGGCAAAGGGGACAAGTATTATTATTTCTCCTATGTAATTGAAGACATGTCAAGTGAAGAGCGTGCTCGCACGGCAAGTAAAGCATGTTGTCCGGCTCCATGGGCTCGTTGCAGATGAAGCAACCGTCGAAGGGCTCATTAAGGCGCATCACAATCTGATCGCAATACGGACATACGCGGCTGGTTTCTCGGTATTCCACAAAGCATGGATGTTGACACAACGCATGACCACAATTTAATCTATGCATATTGACTGGGATTCATTGGCTCTAGGCAAACGGCGCAAAAGTCAGGACGTCTGCGTGAGATTCAAATTAGCAGTTTCTAAAAAAACAAGAATCGCAAGCATTTACCTGTCTCGAACACGCTCTGTTTGGGTTGGTCTTCTAACGTTGACGTTATTATTGGGACGACCTGCAAAGTGTGTGCCAGAGTGCGACTGAGAGGACCTACTGTTGGGTATATTAAAATAAATTGTAGCTGCTGCAACAATTGCGCAGATGCCCATAACAATATCTAAATAATCCATGTTTCCGTCTCCGTATACAGATGTTGTAATCACTAGTTAAATATATTTATTTTCTCTCACTGACTTGCAGCTACTTGTCTGAAAACCCCCTAAAATAAATGTTTCGTTTTAATTTGCCAATCACATAATGTGCTTACATTTATTGCCACACTGTTCAAATAAAATCAATACTACTATTTTACACTAGTCTGGCAAACTAACATATTTATATACGTTTTTGCTTTGTATTTAGATTGGCAAATTAAATTTTTATCAATTCTCATCGTAAAAAATGTAACAAAAACTGTATGTGTATGTGCCTTATTGATATTAGACATAACTCGAAGTTGAGGTATTTTCGTTTAGCCGGCAAATGGTCACACACTCTCCTTATAATTATTTACCTTTGCTCTAAATTGATTTACTTGGCATGAGTAGCACAAGTCTCCACATATCACGTGATATAAATTAAGTTTAATAAATGCATCGGTCGCCAACTACAAGTTACAATTCGTCTCCATTGTGACGCCCTGGCTGACCGCTGAGGATTTCCCCAGCGTTCTGGCAGGCGGCCTGGATCCGTCCGTGTAATTGGTGGACAATTTCAAATGGTGAGTGATTGGGTGAGATCTCGAGTCATAATATTCAATGTCGCTCCTTTATTTTAGCCTTGATCGGCTGGTCATTCATTGCAGGAACGGATTTTTGCTTTGCAAACACTGGCCGCGCATCTGGTTTGTGCGCCTCGCTCATAAATCAAGCATCATTGAGACGTTCGGGCTTCGTTCGCAGCCTACATCAGTGTCAAGAGCTAGGACATTTAAAAACTTAGACAGCGTTTATTGTTTTCAATAAAATTTGTAAACACTAAAAGAAGGCACTTAACCTATTGATATCATAATAACTATGCATATATATATAAAGCTAAGTGTGCGCCTTGGTGTCTTAATATTGCTTTAGTTGATAAAGTCGTTAAAGTTTCTTTGAGCAAAGGGGACAAGTTTTGTAGTTTTCTTTCTTATATGACTCCAGACATATTTTGTGTAGAGCGTGCTCACACGGCAAGTACTGAATGGTCTTTGGCGACATGGGCTCGCAGCAGATGCAGCAGTCGTCGCCGGGCACGTTGATGCGTATTACAAGCTTTTTGCAATACAGACAGTAGCGATCCCACTCGCGGTATTGTGCAAAGCATGGAAATTGACACAGCGCATGACCGCAGTTCATTATATGCATCGTGTGGGCTGTCATTTCCTTTAGGCAAATGATGCACTTGTCGCCGGGTTCGCTAAAATGCAACCGATTACAATTAAGACTATAAACACACAAGAAGCTCATGTATTTACCTGGCACGAAAACGCTGCGCTTTGCCATCTTTTTTGCTTTGTCTTCCACAATCGTTGCTTTCGTCGCCGTCATTGGGTCGTCTGCCAGTGTTGGACTGATAAGAGGACACCCTTGCAGGCATACTAAAATAAATTGCAGCGGCTGCAGCTGCAATTACGCAGCCGATGCCCATTATCAACTGCATATAAACCATTCTTCCGTCCTCGCATATAACTGTTGCAATCGCAGATTGAATATTTTTATTTTTTGTACTGGTTAATTGGGTTGTTGTACAATTATATCGCTTTTTTAGGGATTTACAGCTCTACTTGTCTGAAATCCCCCTAAAATAAATGTTGTGCTAGTTTGCCATTCACTTAACTTTTTTTCCATTTGTTACCACACCGCTCAAACATAATCAGTGCTGCCACATTTTTAAATTAAGATAATCTAACATTTTGCATTATTGCAACAAGCTAACATACACATATAGGGTTTTTCTTTATTTTGATGGCAAACTAAACTTTTGATATTGCTCAACATAACTCATGTAAATAACAATGGTAAGCTTTTGTGCCTTATTGAAATTTAAGCAATCGTCAAGTGTTCACGTCTTTTATGTGGAAAATGTGGTATTTTCGCACGGCCTGGCAGTCGGTCACACCGCGTCCTTTTTAATTCTATGCTTTTTCTTTGCTCAAATAAATTTAAATTGTATAAATTGTAATTGCGGCAGTGCTGCATTTGAGAATAGTTTCTTGGTGTGCACAACATACGATAAAGAATTTAGAACGCTCCATCTACCGTGTGATATCGATTTGAGTGCACCGGTAGCCAACTACAAGCCAAATCGTCTCCGTCGCTACCCCTCAGACCCAGTGAACGATTTTTCTGGTGCAATTAAAGTACATTACTCACTGATAAGGCAACGAGGAAAGCAAGCATGGCGGAACGTGAGCGCAGCATACATGAAATGCTTAAAGACACACCATCGATGAACGACAGCTGCGATGCCGTGCACACTGGCACGGAAGGCGGCAGCCTGGGAATGATGGGGATAAGCGGCAGCGCCAGCAGTCACATTATTGGAACAGGCATCCCGTTAAGTACGTCCGCCAGTTTGCCATTACGAAATCATTCAGGTGTGTAGCTAAACCTTATACATATATAATTCGTGGATAACATTTTGATTTGGTGTTGGCATTCCTTCCGCAGCGCCCACCACACCCATGTCACCTATAAGTCCACAAGCGAGCAACGGTTTCCTAACATCAGCAGACGGCAGCAGCAGCCTGATACGGACGAGTGCTTCCAAGATTGATAGCATCAAGAACTGGAGCATATCAACGTATAAGTGCACGCGTCAGATAATGCTCGAGAAGCTGGGGAAATCACAGCGTACCGTCGATTCGGAACTGGAGGCGCAGATCGAACAGCTGCGCGAGACCCAACGAAAATATTTGTCCATTTTACGATTGACGCGCGCCTTCAGCTCACATTTCCAACACGTTGTGGTGTCACAGCAATCACTGGCGGACGCCTTTGCCGATCTGGCGCAAAAAAATCCCGAACTGCAGAAGGAGTTCATCTGCAATTCGGAGACGCAACGAAACTTGACAAAAAATGGCGAATTACTCTTGAATGCGTTAAACTTTTTCATCTCATCGGTCAATACGCTATGCAACAAAACCATAGATGATACCCTCCTAACGATACGACAATACGAGACGGCTAGGTAGGCCGATAAATCCTTATAAGCTATATAGCATAAATTATGCCTACAACTGATTCATCAATATTTGCAGAATCGAATTCGATGCCTATCGAATGGATCTGGAGAACACAAAGCCAGAAATAACCCAAGCGGCGGCTTCTCTGGAAGAGACCCAGCGCAGCTATGCGCATCACAAGGATCAATACGAAAAGCTGCGTGGTGATGTAGCCATCAAAATGCAATTTCTCGATGAGAATCGCGTAAGTTTTGTTTGCAGCCTATTTTATATGTTAAACAAAAGCGAATACATTTCCAACTTCACGCAGATCAAAGTGATGCACAAGCAGCTCATTCTGTTGCACAATGCCATTGCCGCGTACTTCTCAGGCAATGCCATGGCACTGGAGAGCACATTGAAGCAGTTCAACATTAAGGTGAGTGTGATCCTTCCCATGTGTATTGTCAACACCACTCATTAGTCTTTTATTAATTCTAGCTAAAGTCTCCAAATAACATCACTGGTTCATGGCTGGAACAGTAATATGGACCTGCACATCAGCACATTCAAGAAACAAAGTATTACCCCCTGTAGCACATGAACCACTTTTCGCCTACATGCCGGCATTTATGCGTATATTCAAATATAGCTGAAGGAGTACGCTCTCTATAAAAGCTGCATGACTTGAAACAATATCTAAAGCTTAAATTTAAGTCGAACTTCTAATTGATAAGCAGAAAGTGAAGGCGAGCACAGTCCATAAGGCACGATTTCCATGTAACTATTTACATTTCCACACAACTCGTACTTAAAATAGTTCCTTCTGTTTCAAAATTTATATATTTAAGTTGAACTCAACGCGCTCACCTCAACCACTTCTAGCCGAATAGCGCTCAGTGCAATATATTTATTTGTTTGAGTTTTATTTTAAGCTGATCAGTCAATAAGAACAAGCTACGTTGAAGCAGCGCGGTAAATGTATCTCAAATTTTTTGGCCATCTGTGCGCTTATTGGCTGTCTGGCATATTTAATTTATTTATTAATCCTTTGTATATTTAAACATAAAAAACATCACCCAAAATTCAACAAAAAAGTGTACACAAACCAAACAAGTTTTCGCTAATGTGTACTTTAATCGAATTGTTTACTAGTCAGCATATTATTTACAATAAAGGGAAGTATACAAATAAAAACCTATTTAGTTAAAAACAAAATTAATTAGACGCTGGAGGCCTAATTTTTCTCCAGCTTCAACTCGCTTAGCTTTTCATTAAGCGCCGCTGACTCATCCTCCTCCGCTTTAAACATGTCCTGACGTTCACATGAATTAAAATGTTTCTGGTAAGCAGCTATTTATTAAAGTTATATGGATAAACACCTACCGCATCGTATATCACTTTTACGATAAGCGAACAGCTCGGACAAGTGGCTACCTCCTCGCCCTCTATAAGCTCCTCCTGCCCAGCAGAAAGCGGATATTAGTAACAGCCAAAAGTTGGTTTTTGATGCGAGTTTACCTTGGAAATTTGAAATCGATCGCCGCAGGGACAAGGATAGTAGTACATCTCCTCCTCCTCGTCGTACTCGAAATCTTCAATCTCGACCTCGTCGTGGTAGATACTCATAGTGTCCCTGCTCTCTCTCTCTCTCTCTCTTGCTACCTATGATATTGCATTATGCTTGATTATTCATATAACACAAATGAGACGCACGCCAATAGCCCGCACGTTGCGGTTGCGACGTTGCCAGACTGTCGCGTAGAACAGCTGATCTGCAATCATTTCTACCCGAACTGTAAGCAAATCAAAACCGCTTGTAAATTTTTTTTCCTTACTACATTGAAAGTAAAAAGCGAACACGACTCCCATCCTAATAAGAGTCCTGACTGACTTGTTTATGATTTTATATTATGCGATATCACTCATATAATACAAACGTGATGCATGCCAATGGGCCTCACTTTGCGGTCGCCGTGTTGCCAGTCTGTCACATATAACAGCTGGCATGCAAGCGTTTCTAGCCGGCTTGTAAGCAAATCGCAAGCGTTTCCAAATTTTTGGTTTAACTGAATTAGAAAGTTAAAACCATGACCAACAAGAAGTATAGTGATGTCAACCTGTACGACTTGCTTGGCGTATCCATCGAAGCCGAGCAGATTGAAATACGCAAAGCGTATCGAAAACGCGCTCTCGACTGCCATCCGGATAAGAATCCCGACAATCCACAAGCGGCGGAACGTTTTCATGAGCTGTCCAAGGCGCTGGAAATACTTACTGATGTAACTGCGCGCGCCGCCTACGACAAGGTACTCAAGGCAAAAAAGGCCGCAGAGTTGCGTACCAAACAGCTGGACAGCAAAAGACAAAAGCTAAAGGAGGAACTGGAGCAGCGAGAACGGGCCGCGCTAGACAAGCAGCAAGTAGGTCAGCCGTACAGCACAATACGTAAGAGCGATGAGGAGGTGCTGCAGGAACAAATTGAACGCTTGCGACGCGAAGGTTCCAAACTTCTGGAGGAGGAGCAGCGGGCAATGCGGGAGCAGCTTAAACGCAGCTACAATGAACAACAGCAGCGCCAGCAGAAGCAACAAACACCCGGATTCGACTCTGCGCAGCATCGCATCACGATTAAATGGAAGGCGGATAAGAATGATGCCAGCAACGGCGGCTACACGCACGAGCAGCTCTTGCAGTACCTCAAGAAATATGGCGAGGTTGTGGCGCTGGTCATGAACACAAAAATACGCGGCCGTGCCATGGTGGAGCTGAACACACGAGAAGCCTGCGACATGGTTCTGGCCTATGAGAAAGGCAATCCAGCGAATCCATTGCACTTTCAGTGGGTATCACGGCTGGCTGAAGACAAGCCAACAACGCCCTCGACGGCGCCAAGCAGTGCAACGACACGGGATTACGAGGACTTGGTCATGCGTAAGCTGCGCCAAGCTGAGGAGCGCAAACGTTTAATCGAAAACATGATGAAAGAGGAAGGCGATGAATAACCGTTGAAAAGTGTAGCATAAGTTATAATTTATTAAAACCAGTTGGCAGCACTGCCGACAGCTGTTGACATAAATAAACGGGAAAATAAAGTGGGGTATATTAGGTTTTCGAAATAAGTAAAAGAAGTTTTTGTGTGCTGAGAACTGGAATGGATTGGAACACATTTATGTGTATAGAAAATTATTTATTTCTCATTTTTACGCCTAACAAATTTTGTCAACCCATTATATCAGATGAGTACATATGTTTTACACGTAGTAAATGTATATTTTGAATGCTTCTCTAGCGCAAAATAATTTTAAATAACACGCACTAGACTGCACAACAGAGCGTCCCAGCGTTCAGGCTTGGTACAGGGTATCAAGTAGTCGCTAATGCAGCTGCTTTCATGTTAGTTGAATGTGTATCAAAATGCCACGAGAGAAAAAATAAATTCGCTTTTGAGTTGCAGAAAACCTTGATTATAATTGTGATTGGAGCTTATGCGAAATGGATAAACGACAGCGCGAGCTGGAGGCTCTAGTGACCACGCAGAAGGAGCAACTGTCGCGCTACGAGAAGCGACTCAAGGGTAAGTCCGTGGTGCAGTAAAAATATTTGTTATTTATTATTTATTTCAAAATACAGACGTGGTCACTGCGTACAAGGGGCTGCTCAAGGAGAAGGAAGCACTCGAGACGAGCCTGGCGGCTCATGCGGAAGCTACGGGCGTCAAAGACGCAAGTGCTGCCGCAGGCGCTGTCACAGCCGATGGCCAAGCCAGCGGGGATGCTGCCGATGGATCCACTGCCACTGGCACCAGTAATGGCAGTGATGCGTCTGGCAACGATGAAAAGGGTCAGCTGCAGACGCAAATCATAACGCTGATGAACTCTCTAGCCACGCTGTCGGCGGAAAAGTCGCGCATGGAGGCCTCTTTCCAGGCGGACAAGAAACAGTTGCGCGCTCAGATAGCGCAAAAGGAGCAGAGCATACAGGAGCTGCACGCCAAGGCCAAGGAGCAAGCGCAGCGTGCTAAAAATGACGTGGATGAGGTGAAGGCCAAGTGGATCATCGAGCGACAGGAACGCGAAAAGGAGACCAACAATCAAATGATAATGCTGCGTGAGCTTCAAAAGCTGTATGCGGATGAACGCCACCTCAAGGAGAACATTGAGATGCAGCTGAACAACTTTAAGACGCAATTCGCCAGCAACGAGGCCGAGAACAGTCGCCTGCGGGAGCTGCAGCTGCAGCTAAAGGAGGCGCGTGCCCAACTGAAACAATGCCAGTCGAAGGCGGAACAAACGACTGCCGCTGCCGCGGCCACTGACAGCAGCGCACTGTTGCAGCAGGTGCGCCAGGAGATGCAGCAGCTCAAGGAGCAGCATTCGGTGGCCATCAAGCAGGAGCAGAGACGCGTGCTGCGCGCCGAAGAGCAAAGTCGACGACAGGCAGCACTGCACGAGGATCGAGTGGCCAATTTGGAGGCACGCCTAGCCGAGCTGAGCAGCACGGTGGGCAATTACGATCGCTTGCGCCAACATGATCAGAACAGCATACATGCGCTCAAGCAGCAGCTGCACGAGCTTGAGCAGGCGCAAACCCGTACAGCGCCCGCGTCGCGACTACTCAACGAAAGCGACGCTGACATGAGTGCTCTGGTGGATGAAATTGGACGCCTAAAGAAGCTGCTGGCCAATGCCAATGCGCACTCTTCCAATCCAATGGACCTCAGCCAGGTGCTGGGCAGCAGCAAAGCGGCCGTAACCGCCGATAGCCACGTGCACTGCGAGCAACAGCTGCAGAGCTTGCAGCAGTTGCTGGAGAACGGCAAGCAGCAGCGTTTGCAGCTAGAACAGAAGATTCGTCTGCAACAGACGCACATACAGACGCTGCAGGACAAGGTGCAGGTGCTCAATCGCAATATAGATGAGGCCGAGCAGGATCTGAAGCAGCAGGGCGACAAGATGCGTCTAGCGCTCAAGAACGAGCGCGCCAAATGGCAGGAGGCGAAAGCGGAGCTAGAGAACGAGACACGCTGCAAGCTTAACGAGCTGGAGCAGCTGCTTCAAAAGCAGCGGCAGCGTTCATTACAGCTGCTCGACGAGAAGGAGCAGGAGATTAAGACGCTGCAAACCTCCTTCGAGGTGTTTCACAAGCCCAACACTTCGCCCCTGGAGGCCAGTGAAGCGTTAGCCTACTCCTCGGACGCAGACAGTGTTGAAGTGGATGGAGAACGCGAAGCAAAACTGAAGGTGAAGCCGAAAAAGCTGTCCTTGAGCGAAAACTGTCACATGCTGCACTATGCCAATGAGCTGGCGCGCAAGGACATTGAAATCACAACACTCCGCAAATCCAAATACGCGGCCGAGTCCACGCTGCGCAAGGCTATACAGGACAAGGTCACCGCACAGCAGGAAATGCACGAGAAGATCGAGTTGCTCGAGGAGCAGGTGGACAGGTGAGTCGCGACCTCAGGCAAAGCCAGTGTGCGCTTATTTCATTTTTAATCTTCCACTGCAGACTGGAACGCTGCAAGACGCGCGAAGGCGCCAATTTGGAGTACCTGAAGAACGTCATCATTAGCTTCATTGTCACTCGGGATGCCGATGACAAGCGTCACATGTTGAACGCCATCAGCGCTGTGCTGCAGTTCACCAGTGCCGAGATGCAGACCATTAACGCAGCATTCCAGAAGAAATAGCATTCGATTGAAACATTAACAGTAGATCATGTATAGAACAGATTACATATATACATATATATAAATACAAAAGTTATATTATCCAAAGCCCGCCACGGGATATTTGTCTAGGTGGGCAGCCATTACGCCCGGGAACATGGCCAGAAACTTGAAGCGGCTGCCCATTTGCTTGGGATCGGTCAGCATCTCATAGCCGGAACGTATAATGTTCCGATTCTCGGGCAGCGCATGGGCCAGCAGCTGCTCCAGGCGCACCTCGCCTTGCATGCGCTTCAAAAAGTCGCCCTGCTGCACTGGCCCACAGCAGTGAATGTGACCGCGCGTCTCCGCCACGTGCTTGATGAGCCGAAAGTCTACATCGGCTGTAAGGTCCGCTGTGCCCGGCGCCAGCAGCGGATCGTGCAGTGCATGCTGCTTGAAGCCGCGAAATGTATCCTTCTTATCGCCAAGGTGGCCGTAGTCCATGATCAGCGCAATGCCACCGTGCTGCTCCAAACGCTCCGCCAGAATGCCCACATGGCGCTCTGCTTCCAGCGAGTACTCAAGGTGGTTGCGCGTCTCTTGCGGCACAGGTTTAAATAAACGCGAAACTGGCGTTTGCGCCTTGGACACAACGTAGCGAAAATCAGCGGGTTTTGAGCCCGTGTTCTGAGCCTGGGCCACATCGATGAGCAACTCTTGCCACTGGTCGTCAACAAGCCGCAGCTTGTGCACGGGCAGCGCATCAAAGAACTCGTGCGCCAGCACCAGCGAAAAGCCCGGCGGCACATCCTCCAGCCGGTGGTGCCAATAGGCCTGGGTGCCACTGGCCGTGGTGCCAATCTGGTAGTATGGCAGTTGCGCCTCTTCCGGCACCGTTTCGTGCTTGTAGCAAAACCGTTGGGCCTGCGCCTTGCTCAGAAACGGACTAATCTCGACCATATGCATGGTGAACTGGGCGCCCGTCTTGAATTTGGACAGCACCTTGAGCACATCGCGCGCCAGTGTGCCACGTCCTGGTCCCAACTCGACCAGCTGAAAAGGCGATGGGCTGCCCAGCTTCTGCCATTCGTTCATCAACCAAACGCCCACAAGCTGGCGGCGAGGAACGTTATTATTATTTAAGTTAGACCAGTAAAGTGCACAATAATCACCTCTCCGAAGATCTGTGAAATTTCCGGCGATGTTACGAAGTCACCCTCACGCCCAAACACATCCCGATTCATGTAGTAACCGCCTTGCGGATTCGTCAGCACCTCGCGCATGTACTCCGCCACGGTTATCGGTCCCGTGGCCAGCATTTTGGCCGTCAACTGCCTGGTCAGAGTTCTTTTGCCATTGCCAACAGACTGTGTGGTCGCCGTCTGCTCCGGCTTCTGCTTTTCCTGCACATCCACATTCTTGGCGCCAGACACCGCACTTAGATTAGGACGACGCACAGATTTGTAGCTGTAGCTGCGCCTGCTGCCAATTCGCAGCGCCTCGCGTAACATATTTTTTTACTCAATTCGTTGGAACTGCCAACTTGATCAAAAGTTAAAATAGAAAGGGGTTCTAATGTCGTTATTTTTATGTTTCATTCAAATGCAGTTTCTTTTTATTAAATTAAAGGCTTTGTATTACATTTCAAAATTGTGAATCATCAACTATTAATGCGCCCCTTCTCCCATTCCTTAGAACACCTTGATATCGGGAACAATCTTCTCGTTGTCGTAGATCTCCTTGGCATAGCACAGATTGGGGTAGTCGAAGGCGGCACCATAGCGATTCTTGCAGCCCGAGGTGGCCTTATCGCCGGGGGTGTACACGGGCTGACCAATCACGTTGGTTGTTGCAAAGTTGCAGGTCAGCACAAAGTGGTTATAGTAGTCGCGAGTGAAGCGCACAGCGGCACAGCCCACATGGGTGTTCTTTTCGGACACGGCAATGGTGAACTTGGCCACTTTCTTGTTTGGCAAATCCTCTGGGAAGCTGGCCAGAATCTCGGGCGAAGCATTGACACGCTCGGCAAACCAGTTCTCAATCTGCTCCTTGATGACCTCCGCATCGGTGTACTCGGACTCGGCACCGCTGTAGCTGAAAATGGCATTGTTCTGGCCAGCGTAGGCGAAGCGTTCGGTACTGCGGCACTTGTCTGGCAGTGACTGGCAAGTCTTCACATTGAAGAGGGCCAGATGTGTCAGCTCCTCGCACCACGTCATCTTTGCCATGCGTGCAGCCTTGGGCAGACCTTCGATTCCACCTCCGGCAACCTTGTTGCGCAGCTCATTAAACAGGGTCAGGATCAACTTCTCGTGTGGCTGAATGTTCACCTCCCGCACATCCTTAGGACATTCCTCACTAAAGTTCTGCAAGGCATTTGTGCTTAATTTGGGAGCTGGAGCGGATTAGACACTTACTCCTTTGTTATTGCAGCCTATGTGCTTGTCCAGGCAAGTGGGCAAGGCGCAGTAGTCCACAGCGGAGGCAATGCCTGCCAGGAGAGCCAACAGGAGAAGTACTTGCATTGTTCAAGTTATTGTGTTTACCAACAGTTCACTCTTAACTGATGATTGACTGGTGAAACAGTCGCTTATTTATAGCACCGGGATTACATATGTTGCCGAGTGACAGCAGTTACAGAAGCTTGAAACACATCTTCCTAGAATCACGGCACATTCGCACACACACACACATGCTTGCATTCATGTTTATTCAGAACTTGAGCTGTATATTATAACAACTGAGCTTAGTAGAAATGTCTGCTAAATCAAATCCATTCGAACATCTGCGTGCTCGGCCATTGGCGAATCGATTCACTACCTGGTAATAACCTCACACATGTGTGATTCTTTGTTTACCTAATGGAGCCCGGTCGGGTATAAATTGATCTACTTTCGTGGTCATTCTTCAGTTGCAAGACAACAACCAACATATAAGATGTTCTCTAAAGTATCCGCGTTCATACTGCTGGCCACAGCTTTAGTCGGCCTAGTCGCTTCAGTTGACTACTGCGCCTTGCCCACTTGCCTGGACAAGCACATAGGCTGCAATAACAAAGGAGTAAGTGTCTAATCCGCTCCAGCTCCCAAATTAAGCACAAATGCCTTGCAGAACTTTAGTGAGGAATGTCCTAAGGATGTGCGGGAGGTGAACATTCAGCCACACGAGAAGTTGATCCTGACCCTGTTTAATGAGCTGCGCAACAAGGTTGCCGGAGGTGGAATCGAAGGTCTGCCCAAGGCTGCACGCATGGCAAAGATGACGTGGTGCGAGGAGCTGACACATCTGGCCCTCTTCAATGTGAAGACTTGCCAGTCACTGCCAGACAAGTGCCGCAGTACCGAACGCTTCGCCTACGCTGGCCAGAACAATGCCATTTTCAGCTACAGCGGTGCCGAGTCCGAGTACACCGATGCGGAGGTCATCAAGGAGCAGATTGAGAACTGGTTTGCCGAGCGTGTCAATGCTTCGCCCGAGATTCTGGCCAGCTTCCCAGAGGATTTGCCAAACAAGAAAGTGGCCAAGTTCACCATTGCCGTGTCCGAAAAGAACACCCATGTGGGCTGTGCCGCTGTGCGCTTCACTCGCGACTACTATAACCACTTTGTGCTGACCTGCAACTTTGCAACAACCAACGTGATTGGTCAGCCCGTGTACACCCCCGGCGATAAGGCCACCTCGGGCTGCAAGAATCGCTATGGTGCCGCCTTCGACTACCCCAATCTGTGCTATGCCAAGGAGATCTACGACAACGAGAAGATTGTTCCCGATATCAAGGTGTTCTAAGGAGTGGTCCATTACATATATATATATAGGGAACAGATTATATTGATATCTGAATTGTAATATCATGTCATAATCGATAAACCGTAATAAAAAATGCAAATCCATACTACGCTATTTTGTTGTAGGTTGCCATAGTAGAAGTGCATTGGATAACTCGGTGCATCCGTCGTTTATCAAAATGAGATTATTTGATTTAAAGAGATGGCAGTTGTATGATAAAGTCATCCGATCCAATCGACCCCGAACTATCAGCATATGAAGAATGTGCACATAAGTACGTTTATATAATAGGAAATCATATACAAATAGCGTTTAGCTATTTATAAACTCAAAATATATACACAATTTGATTTTAAGTTGTTATTAGCTTATTCAAAACCACATTTCTTTATTGCGCCGACTCTACCGCAACGCAGACGGTAGAAGCCAGCAATAAACCAAACAAGTGCATTTTGTATTGATGTTTTACAAAGATTGCGCCAAAGCTTAGGCGGTGGTAGGTGCGGCGGCGGCAGCGCTGGTGGTGGCAGCTGCTTCCTCCTTAAGACGGTCCTTCTTGAGGGGACCCATGAAGGCCAGCTTGTCGGCCGGGGTCTGGAAACGACCATGACCCATCTTGGACGAGGTGTCGATGAACTTGAGCTTGATCTGTTCCAGAGCCGAGCGCTTGGTGTGACGCAGCAGGGACTTGCGCAGGGTGATGATGCGCTTCTTGGAGCCAATGCAGCAGCCCTTGATCATGACAAAGTCGTTGTTGACCTCACCATAGTGGGGGAAGCCACCCATGGGCGTGATGCTCTTGTCGGTCAAATCGTACTCAGTAGAGGCATTGTTTTTGATGACCTGCAAATTGGAGAGCAGAGAAATGTGTATTAGACAAGTAGAACACTAAGAAAGGAAAAGTGTCTTGGGTCAAACGTTATCAGTCCTATCATTATAAAAATCACGGTTAATCAACCTTTTTATTTTCTTCGATGTCAATATTTTTTAGAGGTTTTATCATCATTAAAAATGAGAGCGAGAAAGACATATGTAATCGTCTTGTGTGCTTACCTTGCCATCCTTGGTATAGATGCCGGCACCGATACGGTAGATCTTCTTGTTGATTTCAGTACGGTGATGGTAACCCTTCTGACCGGCACGTGCCACGGTGGTGGACACGCGGGACGGATGCCAGGCACCGATACAGGCAACCTTGCGCAGACCCTTGTGCGTCTTGCGGGGCAGCTTCTTGGTGTGCCAACGTGAGGTGACACCCTTGAATCCCTTACCCTTGGTAACACCAACGCAATCGATCATCTCATCTTGGCCAAACACATTGCGGACCTGGATGGGCTTCTCGAGATGCTCACGCACCCACTTGACCTTATCCTCAATGGAGCCACCATTCAGCTGGATCTCCATGATGTGCGCCTTCTTCTGGCGTTGATTGATCAGACGGATCTGTGCGACAAGAGTATAAACAAAAAGTTATTACCAAAAATTGTATTGCAATGTTTTAGGACTGTGCGTGATATGGTTTAACCGTGCGTTCATCGCCTGAGCGGCTGCGCACCGTTACTGGAATATATCAAGCATCGCCACCCGAAGGGCGATTTGATCTGCGACGTTGCATCCATGAACTGTGCATTGAGGGACACAGCGCGAATGCTTTTTAGGCCAGGCGCACCGACCGGCCGCGAAGCACAATCGGCACAACAAGACCAAGGACGTCGCCACTAATAGACTATTCAATACATATTGAGCATAATTACCTGCGAGTGGGCAATCACGCGGATGACCTTGCAGTAGCGGAGCATCTTACGAAAATCGTTCTCGATGCTCTTCTTGCCTAAATCATCGGTCCACTTCTTGCTGGCCTTGGTGAAAGCCTTCTTCTGGCTCTTGTACCTGATTGGAACGAATTTGGAGACGTTGCGAATTAATACAGAGCCGAGAGTCAATCGATCGAACGCTGCATCAAGTCTGTGCGGGCGAAAGATAAAACGGGAAGTGCACCTCATCGCAATTGAAAGCGAGCGGAGATGACATCTTCCATGACGTGCTTACTCACAATTGACGCATTATTGGTCAATGCAGCTCACACGACTTGCATAGATTTGAAAAGCTCTCTCAGCGAACTGATCCAAGAACTTTATAAGTTTCGTTTAAGTTAGTTAACGTCTAAAAAATGGTCCACATCGCACACGCAGCAAGTGCAAATTGTACTGCAACTGCGATCAGAAGGAAGGCAGCAGAAATGGTAGAAGGTTTTTCGACAAAGGTCATTCAGATACCATCTCATCATCATCCAGCAGCACGCAGCACATGCAACTTGCAACGCGTGCGACCATCCAAAAAAAAAAAATGGCGTCCGACATTTTGTTACATACCAGTTCTTATAGAAGCGACGACGGCACTCCTCAGACAAATGCTGGGCCCAGACATTTACCAGGGCACGCAGACCGAATGGCGTCTCGATATAACCAACGGCGCCAACGGCAATCATTGGTGGCGTCTCCAAAATGGTCACAGCCTCGACGACTTCCTTCTTGTTGATCTCTGTAAAACAAAAATTAATTTTGAGGTTAAGCACGTGGTTTTCAGGCGACCAAAAATTCAGGATTTTGCTTAATGCAAATCAGTCCGCCCTAGTTAAGTCATAATCACAGTTGATCATTTGTGTTCTAACCATAAAAATTTAACTGTTTCTCATCATGGAAAATTCGATATAAACATATTTTAAAAATTTAATTACTCACTTGATCCAGGACGATCGGCTTCGCGCACAATGTGCGTCATGCCGGCCTTGTAGCCAATGAAGCAAGTCAGATGCACTGGCTTGGTGGCATCATCCTTGGGGAAGGCCTTAACCTTGCCACGATGACGGCAGGAGCGCTTCTTGGGGTAGAAGGCCATGGAGCCATGACGAGGTGCAGAAAATTTACGATGAGACTGCAAATGTAAGTTTCACAAAATTTCTTGATTATTTGTTCATTTACTATCGAGTTCAATTTTACTTGAAAATGTTTTTTTTAGGTTATGTATGCATATTTAATTTAAAGTTGCACACACGTGTCAAAAATAAGAACTAAATTCACTTTAGCATCATAAGCTACTTTAATGCTCTTACTGCATATCACTACTAAATAATCATAAATATCTAATGTTATTTATATTTATTTAGATTTATTTATTTATATTTTTAGAGAATTTATCTTATTTCTTTTTTAATTTTCACGGAGCTAAACTCACCATGACGTCCGTTCACTTCAGACGCTGAAACAGAAAGAAAGGAAGTGAATGTTTGAAAAGCGAACTCGGCTACGCTTGCTGTGAGCAGTGTTGTTAATCATTTAAAAAAAAAATGAAGTTGGCGTTGATTATCTAACATGAGTGTTGTCAAGTCGCAAGGCTGCCAACTTGTGGCAATCTGAAGCGAAATTGTCCAACACATGCGTAAACATATTGGCGCCGGCAATTTGTTGCATCTCTTACATTATTAATAATATAAATCAAAATGCGAACAGTAACAGATCCCGATCACAGCATATTGATGGGCGAAGCCATCAGTTGCTACGAAATATGCGAAAACGACTTTGCCTACAACCTGATCTGTGTTGCTCAACAAAAACATCTCTCGTTGATATTAATTAGTTTGCCGGCAAGTACAAGAAATACAACAATAGAGTGTATCCATAACATAGAGCTTTCATTTGATTATGTTTAGGAGGAGAGCGGCGATTTCGTGTGGAATCATTTACAGGACATGGAGATACCAGACGAAGACGCCCGCTGTCACAAGATCGCCTTCTCGCCAGATACCTCTCTGAACTGCACGCCAAACAAAGTAACCATTTGCACTTCGATTGGGAAGTGCGGCATGACACTTTTCCACACGAACCTAAATCAGTTTAGCAGCGTGCAATCCTTGCGAGGACACAGCAATTATGTAAACGACATTGCCTGGGTCTGCGAAGGCGAGCTGCTAGCCTCTGTGAGCGATGACTTCACCTGCAAGTTTTGGAACGTCACAACGACTTTTGAGAACGTTATCACCTTCTGCCTGTCATCGGCGGGCGTATCAATTAAAAGCCATCCAGAGGATCCCAACAAAGTGCTTGTGGCTGAGAAGCGTGGTATGGTTTATTTATGATTGTTTATTGGAGCACCGCACCTATTAACACACTTGCCTTTAGGTATTATCCATTTGTATAATGTGCGCAGCAAGCAAACAGTTGTGTCCGTTGAATCGCCGAAATTTCCGCTCATGTCCGCGGATTGGGCAAACAGTAACAGGCTGTTTGTAACGGCTTTGGCTGGCGGAGATATTGTCACTTGGGATCTGAGCCGTCCATTTGTCCCAGCCGATATAAAGCAGGTGCACGAAGATGGCGGTCGCATTGTGCGCTTCGCTCCTGGCAGCACAGAGATCGCAATGGCCAGCATTGGTCGTCCGGATCTTACTTTGAAAGTTTTTGTGGCAAAGTCAACGGTGCCGCTAATTGAGTCGCCCCTGAAAACCTATGGTGGCCTGGCTTGGCACCATCGCTTGCCATACATAAGTGCAGCATCTGATAAAAAATTGTATTTTTGGAAGGTCCAAATTAAATAATCAGGAAGGGAATCATAATAAAGAATTTTTTAATTGGCACCAACTCAAAGTTGGTATTTTAATATTAGATTTAGGTTTGGTATTTTTGTTTGGGTATTTTTACAGATTTTCGCCAACGGTCACACTGCCATCAATGTATTTTTTATTTGTTTTTAATAAAATAAACACATCCCAAAACTGCTACTGGTTATAAAAATAGACGCGCAAGATGTCGACCCCCGAAACACAGGTTTCTAGTTTGCCTATGCCGCCGGAGCGGTACATCAGCAACTACACGGAGGAGAACATAAGGAGAAATCGGGCACCGCGGCCGCCACCACCGCCATCACAACATGAAGTGTACAGCATGTTTGGCATACAGTACAACAACGACGAGATGATACGCTCTCTAGAATCGCAGAACATTAAACGTCTCATACCCATTCACTTTGACCGTCGGAAGGAGCTCAAGAAGCTGAATCACTCGCTGCTCGTCAATTTTTTGGATCTTATTGACTTTTTGATATTAAATCCAGACAGTCCCAGGCGTACAGAGAAAGTGTGTTGATAAATAAGTCCATGTTATTTACATATAATTGATGTTTCCTATGCACAGATTGATGACCTGAGTCTGCTCTTTGTAAATATGCATCATTTATTGAATGAGTTCAGACCCCATCAGGCTCGCGAAACTTTGCGTGTGATGATGGAAATGCAGAAGAGGCAACGCGTGGAGACGGCCACGCGTTTTCAGAAGCACTTGGAACGTGTTCGTGATATTGTCAACAGCGCCTTCTCTGCACTGCCCACGCTATTTGACGAGGATGAAAATGGCGGCGCAAAAGTCAAAATGGAAGTGGATCCCTTGGATTCAAATGCGGCGGCTAAAAACGATCCCAGCTATCAGCATGATCGCATGATGTGCAAGCTGGTGGATGCCATTGACTGAGACATATACATCTATATATATATATATATATGTGCTGGAGAGATATATTGTCAGTCTTGCAAATTTGCCTAGGCTTACCTGAAATATATATAAAAAGAACTGTACCATAATTACATGTATAAGAAATAAATTTATTATATTTTCTATGACATGTTTATAATACACATTGAAATAAGCGACGTGTAAGCTGCAATCATTAAATTCTTCTTTCTGACAGTCATTGCCGAAACGTAAAATGTGCGGAATTTGTCATCAGAATCGGTCGTGCGCCCTATCATAATTAGCTTCAAGCTACTATTCACAATGGGATTTCACCATCTTGATGACGTATCTTTTAAAACGATAATGTTGCCTGGCCAACCATTCATTTATATTTGTATGGCTATTATTCTTTAATAAACAAATCATGTAAGTAGTTTGGTAAACATTCATAACTGCTAAGTCAGGACACGCCGTGCTTAACACGTGTTCCCCAGCCCCCCCCAAAACGTCAGTTATCCAAAGCTATCGTAGTTGCTACCTTATAGCTTATCATTGCTTGGGCCTCTCACTGATAAGCTAAGCGTTGATTAGGGTCTGCATAAGACTGGAGAATGGCTAGACAAAATATGTGTTTAGTTTAGCCCATGTTAGGCCAAGAATTGCAGTTGTCTAATTAATTTAGATTTTGTAAAATACGAATTTAATATTAACGTTTTTAAAAAAAATATAATTTCGATAATTAAAAAAATTTAATTATATCTATGGTACAAGGTCTGCACACCTGGTTTCCTGCGCTAATTAAAGGGCAGCACATACCCTTTTTTTTGTTTTTGCATTTTTCGATATGATATAATACAATGTAAAGCTGAATGCGTAGGGGGTTTAAATTTAACGTTTTAAGTGGGTTAAATTCATTTTTATGCGATTATAATCTTTATGGCAACGCCGACGAAAGCATGTTGACGCTGTGAAATCTATGATAAGAAAGTGTAAAATTTAAATGAATCTTCAATTTTCCACTGCAAGAGATGATAAAAACCTGGTGTCATTCATAACAGCGAATCATTTGCAAGCTGACACGCGTAGTGCTCGAAGTGCTTGGAAATCGTGAAAAACATCTGTGATAAATTAATAACCATATAGTATATTAATTGTTATGCTGATGCTATGGGACATTTTTAATTGACTAGTGCCATAAATTACTTAATAAAAAGAAATTGTGATACTCAAATCAACCATAAGGAATCGTATAGTACAAAAATATGGCCGAGAACAATATTGAAAGTGTCAACCGCGTCAAAACAAAAGGTAATGCTTGAAATGGCATCTATAAGATACAGAAAAAACAACATTAATAAAAACCAAATGTGAAGTAACGAAAGCGTTAATATTTTCAATATTTATAAATTTAAATAAAAAATAAAAACTAAACAATGACTTGTTAAAATTTAAATCGAAGAGACTTAAAAGTTTATTATGTCGTAAAAAAGAATATAGGCATCTTTCAATTGTGTTTTATCAGATTAAAAAAAAACCATTTAAAATTATAAAGATAAAGCACGAATTGATAAAAATTGTACTATTTTTAAGCGATATACAAAATAATGCTGGTGAATTCTTTAAAAAGGATATATTATTATTTTTTATTTTAAATTAGAGACTATAAAAAAAACTGCACAACCGTATACTCAAAAAAAAAAAACAAATTCCAAAAGAATTAATGGGCTGACTAATATTTCAATCCAAAAATTTGCAGACTCCGATACCGATACAGATGGCAATTCCAACAGCACTGCGGTGGCCTCAGCCGCCGCTCCAGAGGATGAGCCAGCAGATTTTGACAAGGCTATGATAGCATCTGGCTTTGGACGATTTAATCTAATACTACTGATAATGGCAATACCAGCGACCTGTGCGAATATGTTCGAGTCGTCGACGATGTCGTATATTCTGCCTATTGCCGAGTGTGATCTTCATTTAACATTAACCGATAAGGGCATACTGAATGCTTGTGCATATGCGGGAATGATTATATCGGCAATACCCTGGGGCTATTTGGCCGATACGAAGGGACGTCGCAAGGTGCTCGTCTATGGCTATTTGTTGACCTCGATTTGTGTGTTTGGCAGCTCGCTCAGCCAAAACTTTATAATGCTGGTGACGTTTAAGTTTCTCGGTGGCCTTATGTAAGTAGCGGGCGCTATCTATTTTATGAGTTGAGAGATTATGTTAAATCTAATTGTTGGCTTACAGTGTCAACGGCCCGGCAGCTGTGCTCTTCACGTATCTGACGGAAATGCATGGACCCAAACACAGATCTCATGTGCTGATGGTTGTGGGTATGATAACAAGCGCCTCCACATTGCTGCTACCCTTGCTGGCCTGGGCCACCTTTCCCCGGGACTGGGACTTTGTGTTCTTTGGCGGTCTTAACAGTAAGTTGAGGACGGGTGTATCTATGACATTTTTATTTACTGCATTTTGTGTTATTTCAGTTCACAACTGGCAGATATTTTTGTTTATATGCGGTTTGCCCAGTTTGATAAGCGGTCTCATAATGTGCCTTATGCCAGAGAGTCCCAGATTCTTAATGGCACAGGGCCGCAATGCGGAGGCCTTGCTGGTGCTGCAAAAGATCTACCAGATCAATACGGGCAAGCCAAAGGACACCTATCCAGTGGGTACATTTACGCTCTAATATAATGCAGTTTGACAGTTGTTTTTTTCTTTTTCTGCACCCCACAGATCAAAAAACTTGTTATGGAGGTGCCCAGTCGCGATGCTCAGGAGGACGAGGCTATCTACACGATTGAGGAGAAGCCGGCGGTGAAGACTGCCACAAAGCGACCGTCGCGCACCCTGCTGGAGAGCCTGAGTGCCGGCATGCAACAGATGAAGCCCATGTTCCACAAGCCCCTGCTGCGCCTTTCGATGCACTGCTACACGATGCAGTTCTGCATATTTCTGGGCATGAATACCATACGTCTCTGGTTGCCCCAGTTGTTCGCCTCAATGGCCAATTATGAGGCTGCGCATGCCAATGATGATGAGTCCGCCAGCATGTGCACCATACTCGAGTACAGCGTCAATAAAACAGCTGAGACCTTGACGGATTACAACAATGCCTGTTCTGAGGTGCGAACAACTATTCAACCTAGATAAGGGCTCTGTTTCTTAATTTTCTTGCATCCTTCAGCTGTTGTAACCATAACTCTCTCTCTCTCTCGCTCTCTCTCTCTCTCTCTCTCTCTCTCTCTCTTACAGCCCCAAGCCATATCCATGGATATGTATATTAACAACATTATCGTCTCGGCTTGTGGATTTGCTGGCTATTTCTTTGCTGGAGCTATAATACGTATGGCTGGCGCCAAGCGTTTGCTAAGTAAGTCATTTTATGTTTATTTAAATTTTATTTATATTTACTCTAGTACCAAAATAAATATTTATATATATACATTTATATATCTTTTAGAAGTTGTATTAAATTAGTCACGACTTGCGTATAAGTATTCTTGTTTGAAAACCAAGTTGGTAAAGCCATGTTCCAATGAAAATATCCATATCCAGGATTACTATGCAATATATAGCTGCCATAGCAATAATCTCCGTCCGTTTTCATAATATCGAATAAAATTATTTTGAGGCGTGGGCTTTAAGTGACAACAAAATTAGGAATATTTCAGTTTTTTGATACTTTCCTCCATAACCCAAAAATGAAAAAAATATCTTAATTTTAACCGCAGACCCTTGCTTATCGTTACATACGTATATCTGGTTGAAATATTTGGGCTCTACAGATTTCCTTAGCATCGGACAGTTAGCAGCGATAATATTATATTATAATATAATATAATAATAATATATTCAAGACTGCATGCCTCATAGTATGTGGCTAAGGAACGCAGAAGCAGAGCTAATGCTACAACTTTATGCTTGAGTATATGTACATATGTGTCCTGTATATGTGTACATACATATGACAAGAGAAAGATTCGAAAGCTTCTAATGACAGCTCAGCGCTAGATTCAGGGTATCTCGCGGATGGACACTCTCGACTAGAGCACTCTTTCATGTTTTTTTTTCTTTTCTTCAATTTTTCATATTTTTTATTTTATCTTTTACATAGCTTACGGTCTATTCATATCGGGTATCCTTGGCCTAGCGCTCTATTGGTCCATCAACAGTATCTCGACTATTATCATTTCTTCGGCTTTTGTCACAGTGGCGGGCATTGCCGTGTCCTCTCTGCTGGGCGCCGTTGTAGCGCTCTTTCCCACCCAATTGCGGTAAGATACACTTTTCCACGTACTGATTGATCTATGCCAAAGGCCAAACCTAAAATTTACTTTTTTATAGCTCATTGGTGGTGGCCACTGCCATGATGTGCGGTCGGTTGGGCGCACTCTCCGGCAATCTTCTCTTTCCGGTTTTAATACAGATCGGCTGTGTGCCGCCCTTTGTGATGGTCGCGTCCGTCATGTTGCGTATGTTTGCCCAACTACAATTTTTATTATTGTCGTACTTGCATTTTAAACATATTTTTGTTATTTTTATTTGCAGTTGCAGCCGTGCTCTCAATTTTCATTCCCAATCCCACAAAAGCGGCCTTTTCTTAAATGTTTACATATTGTTCGGCTCTTACGATTGTATTTTGAATCGTTTTATAGCGATTGTTTATTAAATTACAAACAATTGCACATTAATATTTTACTGTAGTTCTTAACTTGTAAAAAGTATTGTATGTATAGCTTAGCGTGTAAATCTGTATTATATGGAAGTGTTATTTTTCCGCTTAGTTTATTGTTTTTAAGTGCTCGTCTTGTGTTGTATCAAATACATATATATATATATATATATATAAGTTAACAGAGGCCAACGACACCAGCTCCATATAGCACTGAGCTGGATGTTCTTACGAGCTAACAGGGATCAGCAAAATGCAACATAACACCAGCCGCAGATGCTGACATAGCTCTGGGCCGGATGTTCTTGCACGATGGCAGCGCACGAGGCGCAAGCTAAGCATTCTAGCGGCCGTTGTGAAAGCACATAATAGCTTAGGTATTTTTGATCAATCTTGTGTAAATTTAGTTTTTAATGCGGCTTTTACTGAGGCACATCGGCCCAGGGACTTCGCGCTTAAATTAACTCACTCACTACGGCGTATCAGCCTAGTGTCTTAGAAATCATTACCCAAATAAAGTCCAATATAGATAATCCGCGAGGACTATTATAAAAAAAAAAAAAATATATATATATATATACTGTGAAATACATGTATACATACTTATGCATAAAGTGATAACTGTCAAGTTTTCTTTTCAGCAGATTTTGTATTATGCCATTGTTTACACATTTTCATATGAATCCTTGCTAATATCTCCTTGCATACCTATTTTAAAACTTAAAAACTTAAAAAAATTATTAGTAACTTGTTCCGCCTTTGGAAATGCAATCGTTAGTTATTTACAATGGCTATTTATCTAAAAATCTGCTTCAATTGAAGAGTACGATAAGATAATCTGAACTCTTGCATAAGCAATTTTGTCATTTACTTCATGATCCTAGTTTATATATTTGTTGTATATTTTTATTAAAATCATAAACTGAAGATGAAAGTGTAAAATTAAACCAATATTATTTCGTTGAATGAATTCATTTTGCATTTTGTGCATCTGCTTATTTTTTTTTGTGCGCTGTATTAAAAAAATAATGTTATATAATAAATTTGTATGCATTCAAATTATTATTGCATGCAAATAAAAATTCTAGGAAATTTATAGCGCTTAAGTTATTTAAGTATATATCGCTGATTGGATATTGAAGGAATTATAGAAATATACTCTTGCATATATAATAGATCCACATACAGTTGTGCTGCAGTCAATGCCTATGTAAATTATATTTAATTGCGGGATCCCAGCAATATTATTTATCAATCTGTTTAATTAATTCATTTACGGATTCACGTGACAAATATGGAAAATAAGCCAGCGAAATTTAATGTTTGGGTGTATGGGCAGAAATAAACAAAAACACCAACTATGAGAATAATCACGATGCCAATGGAAAATATAAATATGCCAATCTCATTAATACCAATTATCTGCGGCGTTCAATAATGCCCCTTTCAGGAGAATAATCTTGTATGGAAATCAATGCACTCGAATAATGCGGCACGAACTATGTGAAATTGATCGAATAGTGGAATTAATTCATTTGCTTGTGCAGAATGTTTTTATTATGAGTTAAAAATGAATATACAAAAAACCGACGTGCCCATTGACCGATTTTGATGCAATGCGCCAGTGGCTGTGATTTTCTTTCTTCATTTAGCCAAGTTATTTTTTTTTTTTGATTTGGCGCGAGGCAGTTGCGAGAACTGTCTATGGGGTTGGTCGTCGCAAAGTAATGCGGCAGATGACCAGATCCTAGCCACAACGGACAGCGCGAGGCAGTCCTGTGCGTAGTCAGTTGGTTGTGTTGGTTCAGCAAGCTGTTGTGTATCTGTAATTGTAATAATTAATTGATTTGGTTTAGATATTTATTTTTGCTTCACTTATGAATTTTGTTAGTTCTCTTAAATATAGCTGTTCTTTTGTTTTTAATATATCTTCAGTTGACTCAGCGCGAGTTAAGATTTTGTATTTTCTTCTTAATCTATTAAATTTCTGGCATTGGAAAATTGAGTGTTCTGCGCTTTCTATATCATTGCATACTTCACACATGTTAGTATCAACTTTGTTGATTTGTGTAGATAATTTTTGTCATACGTATGTCCAGTGAAGAGGCGGTTTATGAGTTTAATATTAGATGCTGTCCACTTTAGCTTCTTATACCATGGGTTTTCTGTTAGGACCGGCAAAAAGCTAAAAAAAACAAGTAAGAGGTTCTAGTCGGGAGCTCCCGACTAGGAGATACCCTGAACCCTCTTCTTCCAACCTCAAATGCATATATATATTCTATTTTAGAAGCAAAATGTCAAGTTTGGTGACTCTAGCTCTTATTATTTACCAAAATTGCCCAAAAAACAGGATATCGATATCGATTTTTATCGATTGCTTGGAAACGGAGTAAGTTATCGATTATCAGAAACAAACTCGATCTGCGCGGGAACTAGGAGCATCTACATCTACAATTTCAAGTCTCTAGCTCTTATGGGTTCTGAGATCCTTTGACTCATACATACGGATGGACGGATGGACGGACGGACGGACTGACGGACGGACGGACTGACAGACATGGCTAGATCGACTCGGCTATTGATGCTGATCAAGAATATATATACTTTATGGGGTCGGAGATGCTTCCTTCTGCCTATTACATACATTTGGCTTTCGCACAAATACAATATACCCTTATACCCATTTTTAATGAGTCCTTTCGCTGCTCTAAATGCATCTCCCACACTGTAGCGATGCGCCAGTGGCTGTGATTTTCTTTCTTCATTTAGCCAAGTTATTTGTCAATAACTTCGGGACTTATTATCCGATTATTTTGATATTTCCGGAATAAGTACACACTACTTAATTTGTACATCGATTTTGTATCGATTTTGAGATGTTAAGAGTTATCGATGCTATGTATGTGATACACGGAATAAACTTGTGTTCCAAATTTGATATCCTAAGTAGATGCAATTTCTAAAATTGGAGTGTTTATACAGATAGGCAACTTGTGGACACGACTGTATCGACGCAATTAGTTATCCTGATCGAATATATATATATGTATTTTATCTTCGATCAGTTGATTGGGTAAGTACAAACATATTTTTCTTAAAATTTTAAATGTGTGAACCTAGAAAGCCTTCAATTTATTTTCAAAATTAGTTTTGTCAATTTTAGTGGGAATTGGTTAAAACCAAGCCCATATATATATACTTACGATTCAGATGGCTCAAGCAGGAGATTCAGGTAACAAAATTGCGGATTTCGAGACGGCGATTGCCGAATGCGGTTTTGGGCTATTCAATGTACTCATTATGATCTGTGCCATGCCCTGTCTATCGGCTATGGTCTTCTCCGCCTCGTCCATGTCGTACGTAATGCCAACAGCTGAGTGTGAGCTGAAGCTGACCGTGTTGGACAAGGGTCTGATGAATGCTGTGACCTATGCAGGTAAGGCATATAGAACGCATGTGAATCCCATATAGGAAAAATTCTAATGCAGCTCTGCAGGCATGATTATCTCAGCCATACCGTGGGGCTTTGTGGCTGATACGATGGGACGTCGCCTGGTTCTCATCACTGGCGGTTGGATCGATGGTATCTGTGTGCTGTGCTCGGCCCTAAGTCAAAACTCCTCGCAGCTGATGTTATTTAAGTTCTTCGATGGACTAGTGTGGGTATCGAGCCAATCGCATTTACTGTGCTTATCCAAACGATTTTTGATTCTCTGCAGTATCTGCGGTCCATTTGCGGTGGTCGTCAGTTATCTGGCCGAATTCCATGGCAGGCAGCACAGGCACTATATTATGCTTTTCGTTGGCTTAAGTATTTCCATCGGTGCCCTGACATTGCCGACAATGGCCTACTTTCTGCTGCCGGTGCACATTTACTTTACTGTTGGAACTCTGCGCTGTAGGTTGATTTATGATATGCTGAATAACCAAATCTGACTTGATTGAAATCCACCTATGCAGTTCACACTTGGCAAATCTTTTTGGCGCTTACCTCAGTGCCCAGCCTGCTGAGTGGCTTTCTGCACATCTTTCTGCCAGAGAGTCCCAAGTTTCTCATGTCCCAGGGCTACTACACCAAGGCGCTGGCTTCCCTGCAGCGCATCTATGCGGTGAATAAGCGCAAGAGCCGCGACACCTATCCGGTGAGTTAGTTATAAGCCTTTAATTTGTGATTTTATGCCCATACATCCGGTATAACCTGGATCAGATCAAAACTCTGACGGATGCCACGCCCGAACGAACCGACGAGGCTCAGGATCCAAGCAAACGCGACTCGGTGGCGCTGCGCTTCCGTAAAACCAAACGTAAATTTATTGATGGCCTGAAACAGCTGAAGCCCATGTGTACCACTCCCTATCTGGGATTATCCGCGCGGGTGTATTGCCTGCACTTTTGCCAAATCATGTGGTAAATTCAGTTTAGAAATGGGCGCGTAACATGCGTTTGATTAATGCGTTACCATTATAGGAATTTTCAATCTTATTAATCAATTTAATAATTAACAATTTTTTATATCAGAGTGCCTAGGGGATAAAACAAAATATCTAAAGGCTCTCGAAGATATTAGTTATTATTATTTATTTCTGCATAGATAATTGGTTGAGATAAATAATAGAGGAGTTTTGTGTAAGTTCCACAAATCTATTCTAAAGAGTCAGAGATTTAGCAAATACTTTATTTGTACAGCTACTATTAATTGTTCTTTATATTTATTTTTTTCATTTTCTTTTCAAGTTTGTTTACTAGATAAAGTGGCAGGAGTAAAAAGCATATAGGCAACTTTTTTGTTTCCATAACAATTTGAATTGAATAATTTTGACGTAAAATTGTATTACAATAGCTTATGGTGTCTTTCGTAAACTGTATTAGGAAATTTACGAAAATCATGTTAAATTTACTATTAATTTAAAAAAAAAATCCTTTTTGTAAGCGTCGGGAAATTTTTGTCCAGTCACGACCATGTCACGCGTCCATCTCTTTAACATGCCTCGCTTATGATTGATCAGTAATTATGTATTGACAGCGTGAATTCGGTGCGCCTATGGCTGCCACAGATCTTTGCCACAATGCACACCTTTGAGGTGCAGGGAATCGACGATAGGAGTATGTGCGCGGTCCTGGGACTCAATTTGTTGCGGCGCAACGGTACGACCGCAACGAGGGAGGAATGCGACATAGTAGGTAGGCGGTCTATTGACCAAAGTTTCAAGCATTAAGGTAATGAACCCAACACGTATAGCATCAGCAACCGGAAACATATAGGGACAACATAATTGTGGCAGGCATTGGCCTAGTTGGATTCCTGCTCATCTTCCCCCTGCTGAGCATTCGCGGTGTCGCCAACCACATACTAAGTGAGTTTGCATAATTTACATATGATTATTGGCCACTTTTTTTTGTTTATCCTGCACAGAGGTCAGCCTCTTTATATGCACGTTCCTGGTGGGTGGTCTCTACTTTGCAACGTCGACGCTGGCAACGCTTATTCTAGCCGCGGTCTATTTGACTGTCATGGGCATTTGTGCGTCCACGGTTATTGGCATGTGTGTGGTCGTGTTTCCTACATTGATGAGGTATGACTGTAGTTTTTAATTAACTAATTAATGCTCAATGTGGCTATGCTTTGCAGAACAATGGTTCTATTGCTGATCATGACATTCGGCCGTTTGGGTTCGGTTACTGGAAATATATTACTACCCTTCTTTATACAAATGAGTTGCTGGGCCCCATTCCTTTGGCTTTCCAGTCTAATGGCCAGTAAGTGTGTTGATTGTTTCGTATACAACATATTTAGGCTATAAGCATTTCTTAACTTTTGTTCAGTTGCATTTACATTCTCATTGTTCCTGAAAGTGGATGTCCAACAGTCACTTAATTAACTGATTGATTGGTGTAGTTACAAGAATTTAATAAAGTAATATGTAAAAATGTATGTAAAAGAAAAAACCAAAATAATAATAAAAAAATAAATTAAAAATAATGCAGTAATTCGAATGCACAGCTTTTTCCCTTCTATTCAACTTAAATTTACCGACTGCTCATTGAGCAGTCCTTTAAGAGCAATAAATTTTTAATAAATATTAAATTTAAAAAATTAAGTTAATATTTAGTTTTAATACATTTTTAAGGCCTACATGCATAAGAGTAAAGAATGGTCCCAAAGCACATTCTAATTATTGAGTCAATATATTTTAAATGCTTTAAAGGCAGTTCATACATGAAACACAGTTTTAATATATTGATATAGAAATCAAATGTTTTCTCTAATTAAACTTATACATTTTTACACGTAGCTACCATTAAAGAGCTGAATAAATTTTTCCAACTTTAATGAATCTACGCCCAATGGAACATGAACAAGTATTTGTAAGTTTTATTTTTTCTGAAAACTAATGCCCAAACCACACAATGGGATATATTAATCAAGTTAGTCGAGTGTATTGCGGTTTATGCAAGCTAATTACATTTTAATCACCACGACAAAGCAAATGCTAATGGGACCAAGCAGCAAACCCGGAACCCCACTTTCCAGATGTGGCCACATGCAGCTGTGACATATTATTAAAATTTTTGTGGTCATCAATTAATTAGCACGTGCTATTATGAATTCAAATTGCGCTTGAATGGCTGCCAATGTGGTTTTGCACATTCCATATCAAATAAGTAAACAATATTAAGTATGGGCAGAGGTAAACTTTTTTGTCAGAAATTGTATCGCATAAATCAAGCAAAACAGTTGAGACAATTTCTGCCGCCATTTGTTGCCTCGTTTTGGGCTGCACACAAGACAAGCTCAATGTATGCCTATCATAATGTACGTACGCATGTATATATGTATGTATGTTTCGTGAAAAATATATGTATTCCAATGGGTTGGCGCCACCATTTGCTATGTCACTCGCAACCCATTTCTCATGCTGTCAAAGCAAAGTCAAGTGGTAATTGACACATGTTGACTTGTGGCAGCCACCACGTGTTCGTCTCTTTTCTCTGCTTGGCTTGATATGAAATCTAAATTAATAGTTTGGGCTTTTGATGTCTAGCATAGGTCCACTTCATTTCGGATTCACAGCCAAATTAATTGATTGCTCAGCTAAGTGCCTTTAGTAAAATCGAATAGAGCTGAGGCAATTTGTCTTGGAATACTATTTCGAAACTTCTCCAAACAGTTCAGTTTTGATAATATAATTAAAGGAATAAAGCAAACGGAAGGGACATTACAATTCGATTTTTTAATAATATGTTTTCTGCAATCTATTGAAAACTACATTTTGCAATTTCAAATGTTGTGTTCCAACGAACTTGTACAATTACTTGAATAAATTGGATGGAACTTTTCTTAAAAGTATAATAAGTATTAAGTTAGGTAAGTACTACCTTTATGCCGCAGTTGCAATTTAGAATGAATTTATGTGAGCTTTTCGAGAGGTTTCCTGTGAATCTCGTGATTTTGTAACTCAGCAAAGCATGAGCAGCAAAAGTGCTTTATCGATTCCAATTCGACTTTTTCGTTGCATAGTTTATTAAAGAAGTGGTAACACACAGCGAAGATTCGATTAGACTGGTTGCCCAATGGATACCAAATTGTATGGAGATTCAAAAGAATTCAACAAAAGCGTTTTTGAACTTTTCCTACACGAAATAACGTTAAATAAGACTTATTATCCTGCAAAAAACGTCGGATAAAGCGAAAAAAAATTGGCTAATTTTTGACAGCAATTTATGAATTAGCTTTCCTTACAGCATAAAAGAGAGAGATAGAGAGCGTGGGAGAGAGAGAGAGAGGGGTGATGGCGAGGGCGGGGTGTGCGTCAGATGCATCATTAAGTGTGTCCCCAGACTGCGCTCTATAAAACCAAAATACAACAAACGCGCATAAATTTAACATAATAAACATGTTGGAATCAGTATGAATATAAACAAGAGAGTGGTCCTCTGCAAATGTGCAAATATGCTTAGGGCGGGCGGTTATGAGTGCGTGCGTATGCGTACGGGGCGTGGTCATGGGCAGGTCATAGTAAATGTATGCCATAAACTAAACGTAACAAAAAAAACAACAACATAAAAAAGAACAACAAAACGAGAATGCATATGCGTGCGTATAAGAAGGCGGCTGAATACAGGGCAACGCGTGTATGTGTGTGTGCAGAGATGGTATGTAGGAGTATACTTGGTGTTGGGGCAAGAGGAAATGTCCAAATGGGCAGTCATAATCTGAAATGTGCAAATACATGTGTATACACGCACACGCACGAGCATATAAACAGCCAGATAGGCAGACAGAGAAACACACTCAAGCATTTGCAGACTTGAGCTAACACAAATACAAGAACATTACACAAACAAACAAGCACAACAAATAGACGCACGTCCCACACATTTGCGCTGCGCTTTGGCGCTCTGTCCTTGTTCATGTCCTCTATAATGATTTACAGGTCATTCATCATATCAACACGCAGCGAGAAATTTATTTGCCGTAGCCGCAGCCGCAGCCTAAACACAAACCAAAGGCAATAAGTGCAAACGGCACTAACAATGCTGCCAGCAAATTAGAGAGCACTAGCATATACGTGCTTTAACTCGCTCTCTCTCACTCTCTGTCTCGCTCTGTATTGCTGCTATAAAATGTTGCTGGGGAAAAAATGCTTAGCAACATGCTGACAGCTATTTATTACTAACTTCTCTCAACAGGTTGTGCAAATGTTGCTATGCCTGCGTCTGTGTCTGTGCTTATGTTGCCTTGCTCATGGCTATTCCGCCTTGGCATACGCGGCAGATATTTTGTAGTCACAATGTAAAGCGGACAGTCGTCGGCAGAACTCGTAGCACCAAAGTTCACGCGCAAGCACGAGCTCCTCTTACGGTAAAAAGTCCTGCGATTGTGTTTCAATGTTGCTGTAGTGTTGCTGTACCTAACCCCTAACTCTGTCAGAAGGCAGAGTAACACGAAACAAAAGACTTCGACAAGCGAATTCAAATAAAAAATGTGTAAATTCTTAAAAAAAAAATAAATTTAATTCAGTGTATTACAATCTGTGTTTATTGCAGTGATATGTGTTAAGTGTTTAATGTCAAACATAAGAAATGTTAAATTAAATATGAGTATAAGCTAAATTTTATTAAATAAATTTTAGTATAATTTGTTTACTAACTTATTTCAAATGTAATGTTAAGTAAATGAAATTTAAATGCTAAATGTGATCAAATACTTATACAGTTTCAAGTTTTGTGCGTTTAATTAAAGTATTACCTAATTAAAGAGCAAAAATTATATGAAATTGGAAGAATAATCCTAAAAATAACTCAATTAGTTAATCGAAGAATCTAACTATAATTTTTGATAAAAAACCCAGTGTGAAACATTGAATTTGATAATATTTATTTAGAACTCTACAAATGCTCTAGCTCAACTCAAATACACGAGATGTTTAAACATTTTTTTACAAATCTAAGCTGCGTATACGCAATATTTATAATTCATAGAGTTTAAATTCAAAACGAGAACCAGTGCAATGCGTCGCAACAGCGCCATTAATTTTTTCGCTGCATCTCTTGCAACTTGCTGTTCGCCCAACCACTCGGTTTGTTAAAAAATTCATTAAAGACGATTTAACTTGCACCCGCGACTTTCTCATTTAATCCTTAAACTAAAAGTAAACAAGTTAAGACGAAAGCGGGTATTTATATCCTGCAAATTGGCATGTGCATGTGCTCCTCGCACAACGCCCCCTGTTGCTGCTATTAATGCTGTGCTCCTGTGCTGCAACGGTTTTCGCGTTCACCTATAGAGAGCTCTATGAAATTTCGGTGAAATAAATTGCCGTTAAGCGTGCGGGTTTATTACGCAACCAACGATTAACGGCTGCCCTTGCACAGCCCGAATTGCGTATAGTGTCGACCATACCCCCACCCATAGGATAGAATTATGTCGGAAATTGTGGATACGGAACTGTTAGTGAACTGCACAATTCTCGCCGTGCGTCGTTTCGAGCTGAACACCATTGTGAACACGACGCTATTGAACACCCTCAACCGCACCGAGGTGGTCAGCCTGTTGTCCGGCATCATCGAGAACCGAGATAATCTCGATAGCATCAATGAGGCAAAGTGAGTTGAAAAAGCACAGCCCTACCACAAGATAGCCCGGCTCTCCGGTCAAAAATTGCATTCACTTTTATGTCATTTCCTGAATTTTCATTACGTTTCCCCACTGTTGCAGTGAAATGCTGTACTGCAGTTGATTATCAAAGGAACTTAAAAGGTATGCAAAGTTAAGGATGGGTGGGGTTAATATCCGGAAATGTATCTCAGCGGGACAAATAGAAAGAAAACCACAGCATCTACAGATTGTTGAAAGGATAATTATTTTAATAATTAGATTAGGTGTACTTTTTTTTTGGTTGATGTGAGTCTACCCTTTGCGATTAATGGCCACCCTCAAATATTTTAATGTGTGTGTTGACTATTTGAAATTTGAAGTCTAGTAAAACACGCATATGATAACTAGGTTTTTATACGGTTATTGTATGCTGCGTACAATTTTTATTAAATGATACGCTATAATACCAGTTTTACATATATGTATACATTTATATTTGTCTTCTTCTCCCAAATCGCTGTCTAATATGCCCAATATTGGAACCAGCCGTAACATACCCAATAACTGCTATTGACAGTCCAAGAGAAAAATAAAAACAAAAATCCTTTATATATCTGCCTGCCTCTTAGGAAACTCAAATTTAGCTCAAAAAATTATTTAAAAGAAATTCTAATTAGGTTTTATATTTATTTTGTAATTATATTAAGTACAGAAGGGACAAAATTGTAGCTCACACATACTTGCTTACAAAACTTCTTCCAAAGGAATTGCAGCTAAGATTTTGGTATTTTATAATTATGAGAAATATACAAGTAAAAAAAAAACTAGCTTAAGCAA